GACCCCTTTGGGGGTCGAACGACCCTTTCACAGGGGTCGCCTAAGACTATCGGAAAACACATATATAATTACATATTGTTTTTGTGATTAATCACTATGCTTTAATTATGTTCAATTTGTAACAATGGAATTGGGGGTCACCACAACATAAGGAACTGTATTAAAGGGTTGCGGCATTAGGAAGGTTGAGAACCACTGTTCTAGGGTCAAAGTGGAATATATACATTAAAATAAACGAGGGCTGTGAAGGAAGAAGTATGAGTAATGAGAAAAGCAATTCTCCTTGGAGACGAATTTCCTTGCTTCAATGCAGCATGTGATTCTGGCAATTTCAGTCATTCTCTTCCAGGTGCTTTTTGGTGCTAGTTCCAAATGCTGCTTGAGGGACCACTGTCTCAGCCCACCTGAGGGAGTGGGGTGTACTCAGGATGTATGAGGAGCTATCACATTCTCTATGGCAAACATTCTGTTGAGCAGGATGGCCCTGGGAGAAAGACAAGTTACTCTTGGGAAACAAGAGGTGAGAGAAACGAGGCAGCAAGTGAATAGTGTTGCTTATGTTAAATACATAACATTAAAAAACAAAAAAACTAATGCAATTGACTCAACAGTATCTCAGCATTAATTTTAGAAAGTCACTTGGTTTTAGCACTTTTCCCCAGTGGAAAAGGCTTTAAGACACACAGGGAGATTGCTGTTCCCCATATTTTTTTAAACAACCAACAATCAATATATGTATAGATTAACTGAAAAAACAAACTAGTTTCTGTTTTTTTGAGCTAGGAAGTGCAGCATAAAGGAGGAATGGGTTGAAAACTACCAAAGAATTTGTATAAGGATAACAAAACTCATGGTTTTCCTGGACCAAACCCCATCGGCCCAAGTAGCAGACATAATGGTTGGGGCTTTGGGGAGGCAATCGATGGCTCCCTAATTTGGTAGGTGTCAGCTGATAGAAATGCATGTATCCTGGAGCCCAGGCTCTACTTAGTGCCTGTCTGTTGGAGAAAATCAAAGATAAAGACACAAATCACTGGGAGGCCAAACACACAGCTAATTGGACTCTATCTGTAACTATGTGAAGTCCATCTGCTCCTACTTAAAGTATTGACCTTATTTTCTCCTTATGTAATACAAGAGGCCTCGTGCACAAAAATTTTTGCACTCAGGGCGGGCCCTCAGCCGGCCTATGCCCTCTTGTAGTCTGGGACCCCTTGGAGGATGTCCACCTGCTGGCTTAGGCCTGCTCCTTGGAGGATTGGGCCCAAGCTGGCAGTCAGACATCCCTCTGGCAGCCTGGGAGCCCTTGGGGCATGTCTAGCGG